AAGTCTCCCTCATTTGTTTTTTTTAAGTGCTGTCTTCTCATCCAGCCCCCATGTTGCTTTTCATCCGTTCCTGATGACCATTACCCTCTGTGCTTCATACACATGGTTGCCATGGAGACCAGATGTTTCCCTACTTTTAATTTGCTTTTTTTCCAGTACAGGCTACCCTCTAACACCTGAGCTGTAGCAGACTCCTCCCTAAACAGTCTCAAGGAAATGTATTTTCTATGGAGTAGTGCCTGAACGCAGCATCCATAAAGCTCTTGTCCTACTGGTAATTAATTGCCTTCTTCAAGCGATGAGAGGGGAACAGGCTCACAGCTCCAAGACTTTTCTTCCCACTCATCTTTTGCAGAGACCAGAGTGACTGCAGCAGAAGCCCAACCGAGCTGACGAGCTGGGTAGGATTCAGTGCTGAACAGATATTTCAGCCTGTACGTAGGTGCGGGGTAATAGCATCCATCATGCAGATGGGGCAGAGGAATTATCTGCAATGTTACTAATTGCCACAGATATCAGTGCTCAACTTTCTTGGCTTGGTCTAGATGAGGAAGTCTGGTGATGCCGGGTGTTAAGCATTATACAAGTAGATGCCAATCGTTATAAGCAGTTCCTCCCACAGATCTTGTAAAATGGAAGCACTTGTGGAAAGTTGCCCACCAATTTGCTCTTTTATCTATTCCAGAGAAAATGGTAGACACCTGACAGTCTGCATGCTGAGGACTGCTGTATCATTGACTTGGGCTACTGAACCATGAGGCATCTTCCAGCCAGGAAGGAAACTACACACAGTCAAGGTAGAGGGTTCCTCTGGTGGCACGGTCTCTGCAGAGAACTACTGAGTTGTGTTTGTGCTCTGCTTGCCAAGCATGTGAGTATTAAAGGAAATGTAGTTGTGAAAACACAAATCAGAATCTGAATGGGACAACAGCTACAGAGCACAAGGAGCCCCTCTGCCGTATCTTTACACACTGTGAATGTCTCTCCTGCTGGAATTTCATTTGGCAGATAGAACCCTGTTCTAGTTTTCTGTGCAGGGTTGATTGTTAGCACTATAATTCTGTGTGGAGTTGAAGTCTCCTGGTTCATTCCTTTGCTCCAGTAAAGCTGGAAGGCCTGAGAGGCTTCTCTGTAACAGTCAAGCATTTCGGGGTATCCAACTTCCTCTTTTACATTAGACCTTCATAAAAAATCAGCCACTTTGCCCTCCCTTTGCATAATAATGATGGCTGCAGACAACTATCCTGTTCTGTCCTGAGCATTGGATCTACGGCAGCAATTCATTAACTCCTCTTTGCCTCCAAAAAGTGCTTTCAGGTCATGGTACATGCATTATGCCTAGGGTGCACAACTCCTGTTGTTTCAGTTAGGGAAACGGAGGTGCAAACTAATTTCAAACTCCCGATTACAGGAATTCCTGGATTATGCTCAGGTGTTCAGAGGATACCTTTTTCTCTTTGGCTCCTTATTGAAAGGGAAATGCTCACAAAGTTTGTTGGCTTGAAGACATTGAAGTTGGTAGCCAAAGCTCATGTTATTCTAGCAGGGATGCTATTTCTTTTAAAATGCTGTCTCAGGAATTTACCTTTCTGGTGGCCTGACTTAACATCTTCTGTGTAGCTAGCTGTCACAGACCAGTTAGAGCTCCCCTTTCCCCCTGGGATCAGTGACAGATTTCAGACAGTTAAGCTTTTCTGGCCAGCTGGCCTGACTCCGTTAATCTACATGTTGCTGGGCATTTGAAATCTTTTTATTCTGGTTCAGGCTCAGGTACAGCTTGATGAGGATATGTGAGCAGTGAGGATAGAGCTTATCTTTACAGTGTGAAACAAAGGTTTGATGCAGCTTCGATCTTATTCGTTTGGGTCCAGCTTGCAGCACGTGAGACCTCAGTAACAGCTGAATATAGGGGCACTGGTTTGAAAAACCCAAACCTTTGGCGTCTTGAAGCAGATGGAACCAAGCCATTGGTTGTCCATTAACCTTGATGTAGTTGTGCCAAAATCTCAGTGTAAAGCCTGATTGTTTGGCTCTGATTACAAGGCAAAGCTGAGGTCTGCTCTAGCTGAGATAGGAGTTCCTGAGCTCCAGCTGTCACCCCAACATGGGGTTCTGATACCTCTTACATCTGTGATGGGTCCCCTTCTGCTCCGCTCCCACTTTGCCAACATAGTCAGAACCTTGAGTGCTCTTTGTCACACGATTCAAGATTTTAGTGGCAGGAGCTTTCACTATATGGGCATTAGAAAGGAAGAAAGCCTAGCGGGTGGCACTGTCACGTGAAACAACTTCAAAAGGACAGCAGCACTAAATGGAGAATTAAATGAGCAAAGCCCGACTCCCCTAATTCTCTGAGGCTGGTTGGCAGGATTTGCAGCCTCTCTTAGTTTTGCATCTAGAAGGAAGATTAGCAAATGTTATACGGAAAACAGATCTTGAAATAAGCTTCCCCATCTCAAAGCTCATAGGGACACAAATTCTCGGGGAAAAGGAACGAGAGAGAGAAAAATACATTTCAATAAAACGACTGCAAAAAAGTATAATTTGTCAAGTTTTGCAAACCATATGAAAACAATTCAAAAGTGACACAAAAATATATATAAGTTTGAAAAATACTTAAAGAAAAAAGTACAGATCTCACAATATCAAAACAAATGACGTATGGTTAAAAAGAAAAAAAAAAAGACATTGAGTAACACCATATTGGCAGAAAAAGTAAACGTCTCCAGGGCAGCTGTGTTTTGTCATTTAAAGTGTCAGTTTGTGTATCTAGGATCCGTCTATAATGTGCTCAGCCATGACAACATTAGCTCTGAGCATTAGAAGAACCTCATAGCAGCGAGTCAAATCTGAGCGCAATGTATACGAGGGAAGAGAGCAGCAAGGGTTACTGTGCTCAGAGGCCTGAAATGTTCCAGCTCACATGGCCGTGGTCTCCTCTTACTGCTACCAG